GGTGAGGAAAGAGAGAGTGCGGCAGATGTGGCTCAAGTTTACTAACACTTAAAACTAACTCACACGCAAGTCACCGCGTTTGCCTTCAACTTACTGAAACTGACGGAAATCGACAGTCGAGCTGACCTGTGTAGAGAACGGAATGCCTGGTCAGTTATATTAGTAATTAATACCAAGTATGACCACTGGAACATGGTGCCTGTGAGAATAGACAGTTGGTTAGATGCTGTGCAAGTCATCACTGCCTCCACTGGGATCTATCCTTCTTAATGAATACAACGGATAGACTTGAGTTGACCTAATTGTGAAAACTCGAGGCGTAATGCGGGATATGAACCCACGTAGTATAGAAGGCCTTTACCGGAAGCCAACGCTCTAACCACTGAGCTACAAATGCCCCACCTGGCGCCATGAATTTAATCACACTTGGGTCGATATTGCCCGTCCAACTTTACCGCCCGTATGGAATCCATCAATAAGGACAAGCAGGCTGACTGCCCAAGCAGAATTTCCTAAGCACCCATCTAGAATCCACCAGAATGACTACTAGGCTGACTTAATTATTAGCTTTGGCAGATTTTTTTAGTTTGAGTTGACCTAATTGTAAAAGACTCGAGGCTGAACCTGCCGCCGAACGCCTCGAGTTTTTCACAATTGGGTCAACTCAAGTTAAGCAAATCTGCCAAACCTCCTAATAACGGATAAACTGTTGGACACCAGGGTGAATGCAGATAACCCATTTTAAGTAATCAAAAGTTGACCTCCTTAGTCACCTTCCATTATTAAAGCAACCTTGGTAGATTGTGAGATAGGTAGTCGTGATCACAAAAGTGTGATGGAACGGTCTTAAGGGGACACTTAAAGCTTATCTGAACTGTGAACAAAATTCGCCAAAATATGCAAACAAGAACGTCAAGCACTTGGTGAGAAAGAAAAAAAACTAAAAAAACTTAGAAGAGACACAAGATCAGACGTACGGTCAAACACAAGGAGGAATTCCTCGTAGCTCAACGGAATGGCCATTTGTGCTGTGTAGCAGTCTTGACGAAACATGTGCAGACATGGATCCAGATCCAGGTAGGAAGGTTCCAGAAGCACTACATGCATGGAAACAGGAGGTTTATGTGAGCACTAGAAGATTTGTTGATGACGACAATGATTGTAGAGGAGGAATCAAAGCGGGAGACTGGCGTGACTCACCCTCCTTTGTGCCATCGGCCCACAGATTGAAAAGCTGGAAGAAGTTGGCGCAACCCACCGCCAGCCAGTCGCCCTCACGGACAAAGTTGACGCACTTTATCTGATCGGGACAGGAGAATTCGGTGAGGCGACGGTGACGCGAGGCGACGCGG